GACTCCTTATTCAGCACTTCTGTCAGAACACACTGCACTAACTCAAGGAAGGAATCATATTTTCTTTAAATTTAACGCATAGATCTGTAACAAGGCCATCGCTTTTTTCCGTTGCAGCTTCATTCGAAGGATTGCCACCCTTCCGCAGACAGGCTTCCAATCAATGATTCTATTAGCGAGGTTGGGTTCTAACACCGGCCTGAGCACGCGTTGTGTTATCGACACCTGAGTAGAATAGCTTCGACCCGCGGAAGTTCAAAATTCCATAGCCTTTGTACTTCGTTGAGAAGAGTCAAACTGTCTAGTTGGTACCTTATGGCCTCATTACCTAACTCCTGTTCTTTCCATCTGAGTGAGGGTATATTCCAATTTCCCATTGTAAGCTCCCACTGGTGGTGTCGCTTCCGTGGAGCCTTTTCTGACGTGCTGTAATGGCATCGCGCTGTCTGACTCCTCTGTTCAGAACGGGTAGCGACTCCGTTGCTGACTGGTATCTTCCTCGTAGTTCCGTTGGTCTTCGTTAGCCGTTATTGAGCTGCTACACCCTCGGTTGGCTGAGGGCGATGAGGCACGTTCTGATCGCCGACTTTTCGCGGTCTGCCTCAGTCCGCCAACAGCCTGCTCGGCCCTTGGTAACCCGGGCGACGACCGAGCTCGTGTAATTTTTGGTGTCGTCTATACCATGAAAGTGAGGCGGCTAAATTTTGCGGAGGCTTCGTCACGGTCTCCATCCGTCCTCTTTTCTCAACGGGGTTTAGACTGGCAACTTCGGAGTTAGAGCAGTTCACAGTTAATCGTTTTGGGGACATTTGAAAACTAGAGATGATTTATTTAATTAAAGAGCACGGTCGTACATGCGAGCATATGGGATCGACCAGTTGCTACGGGCCATACAATCACCATATGCTGAAAGCAGGTGCTGCGACAGAGTAAATAGCCTTAAATCGAGACTTTTCAGCGTTGGCAGCTCCGCTATGGCTGCATTCTGTCCCTCTTCTGTTTGTGTTTTACATGGATAGAACAGCCAGGCGCGACCAGGGCGATGTGCGTATCAGCGTAGAAGATATCAAGATGAGAAGGTTGCTGCTTACAGACGACGTTTTTGTTGGTATCTTCTGAAACCGATCTACAGTGCTCTCTGGAAAGGTTAGCAGCGGAGCTCGACGTGGACGCAATGCATGTGAACGTGTCTAAAATGGAATGCCTAGTGCTTTCTCGTTTTTCTGCCCATTGCTTTCTCAGATGAACAGAGAGGAGCAAGTGCAGATCTTCGAAGACATCGGTTCGCGTTTACTGGTGACTGAAAATTTGATGAAGAGATCGGAGTAGCCAGTGACGTTCTGTGTGAACTAGCCCGAGATATTGTGGCTGAAGCAGAGCTGAGTCTGAAGACTAAGCTCTCGGTATTCAAGTCGATCTTTATCCCCGTCCTTACCTACATTCATGAGTCGTGGACCATGACTGAAAAACCTCGATCTCACGTACAAGCTGTTGAAACGGAATTTCTTAGACGAGTCGCTTGCCTTACGCGTTTCGACATGATCCGGAATACAGACATCCGCGAGATCCTTGGTGTACAGTAGCCGGTTGCCAGTAGTTACCTCTGCAATGGTTTGGGCGCGTGTTGCGGATGCCTCCGTAGAGGAAGGCGA